AAGAATCCTGAATTTGGGATTAAAATGCTAAGCGTGGAAATTAAAGTTAATACTGTGTGTTAGTGACTTAAACCGCCTATATATAGTGCTTGACACTAAAACCTAGGCTGATACTTAGCCATTTGGACGTGAGTGGCTGCTGGTGACTGCTGCTCTTTGCTTTCTCGACCATTTCTTGACCTTCCTTGTAGCTTTTCTTCACATTTCCTTCACCAATCATCCTCGTGTGAGTGAGATAGAGCCTTGAGAGTGGGTGGGAGACCTTCTTGCTGAGTTGGAGCTGCTGTGTGAGGGGTTGTGGTTGCTGCCTCTGTGTTTGTGGAGGGAGTACACCTTTGGCTTGGCATTTGTGGTGCCAAGGAGTCACCTTTTGGTGCAAGAACCAACCTTTGGTGGAGCATTTTCGTTTTGGGACCAAGTCAGAACCTTTGGAGTTGGTTGTGAGCTCCAAGAGCCTTCCATTTCTGAGTTTGAAGCTTTGGTGAGTTGCCTAACCTTGATCATGAGTTTAAATGATTTAAAAGTGGTGTCTTTGCATGTAAACGGGTTAAGCAAGTAACTAACATGTGTATGAACCTGTATAGACCTAAAAATGAAGTCTTGAATGCTTTTATTTGGTAAAAGTTCGACCTTTGGTGGATATCTTCGCGAAATGCAGAAACTGCATTCTGTCGCGAAATATCTGGATATTTGGTCGATAAATATCCGGATATTGATATCCGGATATGGGGATCTGGATATCCGGATATTGATATCTGGATATTGCCTGTGAGATATCTGGATATTGATATCTGGATATGCCCCGACATATATCCGGATATTCTGGGGTTTCGAGGAACAGTAGCTATATTGTTCATACAGTAGGCTATTAGGGGTTTGTGGACCCTAGATTGATGAAGTTGAACTTCTGTAATAATTGGACTAAGTCAGAATCAAGTGATTAAGGGCTTATGGCTTGGTGAGAAGCCTTAAGACGTAAAACGTAAGAAAGGCATTATCTTTATGATGAATGCTTGTAGTGCATGTTTTTTGATTTATTATTGGTCCATATCAGATTGTGATTCTACTGTGTTTGGACTTTGAGGATTGGTTGGACTCTTGGCTTGGAGTGTTAGCTTGCAAAGTAAGCTTTCTTGTCCTCGGTTTAGCCATGTTGTGGTTCCACCATGTCCCATGGGGGTATGATTATATGCATGCTGTGTTACATGCTTTGGATATTTGAAATGTTGTTGAGCTTTATGTGTAATTTCTTTTAATATGCATGTGTTGTTCCATCTTAACGGTAAGCCTGAGTATGTGGCGTCATACAAGACGGTGATCAGGGGTGGATGCAAGTGGCGTCTTGCACTATGTATGGGTATTTATCGTATATAAATCCTGCATTTCTCTGGCCAGTAGAATAGTATTGACACACATGACATGATTATCTGCTGCATTGCACTATTTTAGAACTGATGATGATAAACTGCTTTTGAACTTATATTGCACATGTAAGTGAGATTGGGGTGGAAAATCCTTGAGGACCCCTTGTCTTACTGAGATTTCTTGTTTAGAGATCTCACGCCACGTTTGGGGAATGCTTATTTCAGGTTCAGGTAGTATGGGGACTGATGCCTCTGGCGGTAGGAGACCAGAGCTTAGTTGATGTTTAGTGTTGTTCATATTATGCTGGCATGACTGGATTGGATGCTGTTTATGTTTTCTGTCATTTATGCTTATGTTGCTGTTGTTGAGACTGATGTTGGGCTCTGTTGCCTTATTTGGGTGAGCATGGGGTTTGTCCATGCCACTTTGTGGTTAGTACTTTTAGTTGGAGTTGTATAAACTGTTAGATGGTCTGGTCTACGTTTTGTAGTCTCGTGACTAGAGACTCATACTTTGATATTTAATTAATGAGGTATTTCAGTTAGCTGTTTATTGCAATATACATACAGGCGATGTTTTGAAAATGGTTAAGTAATCAAGTTGGTATTGATTAATGACATCATAATTGAAAAGAAAAAGATATTCCGCAATCTTAATTAAGCGCAGCTTAATACGATAGTATGATAACATTACCGGATATATACGGGGTGTTACAAAGACATCCATCAAATTCCTGAGGGATTGAATTCCTTGAGAAGAGATCACTTAGTTTATTTTTGTAGTTTTTATTTGTATAGTTTTAACTTTAGTTAAGTGACAACACTTCTTCTTCTTTCTGTATCACCCACTAGAAACTCCTCAAGAGCAACAACCATCTTCTCCACTTTTCATTTTGTTGTAATCAATTTATTTTCATTTAAATACAAGTGTTATTTGTCTCCTTTCCACTCGTTATCTCTGAACTGAATCTCGGTTCTATGAGACTTCTGTTTGGAATAATTATGTTTAAACTAGTAGTTATGGGCTAAATTATGTGGAATGGAAAAACTGCAAAGTTCTTAAAAAGTTATTTTCGAAACTCTTGTATTACAGCTTTTGTGTTTCTCTGGTTAAGTGTGCTATCTTCATTGTGTATCTTTGGAAATCGAACAGATACTAAGAAAGGAACTTCCATAAAGAAAGGATTTCAGACAGCTTAACCAGAGGGGGAAGGCAGTACTGTGGAAACAGTATTGCTGGTTGCCTTAGGAATAAGGGACCACCTCGTTCATATTAAGGTTCTGCATTAAGTACTTGTTGGAGTCAAGGGAGCCATAGGAATATGGAAACTTGTGAGCCATCTAGTCCATAAGCTGAGGAATCAGACATTGGCAGAGAGGAAACTGGAACAAATACTTAAGTGTTGAGTCCTGAGTGGAGAAAATAATTATTTATGAATGGAGTAGTGGATCCGTTCCTTCTGTTATTATTTTTTTAAAACCATCCACCCTGTTGTCTTTTGACTATTTTTATTACTTTTTGTATTTTTCTTCTTTATTTAATCTTGTATCTATAAACCTCTCATGAATATTGTTGTTCCTTCACTAAACAAGAAGGTTGACATATATAACGAAGCGATGAACTGTTTGGTGTCTGATTGAACCTACTGTCCTTGAGGAACGTTGTCAAGACAGTAGGGAACGTTTTACCAAACAGGTCAATTACTAACTTTTCTTTTCTTTTTCATTCTTTATAAAACAATATAAGACACTAATTAGAGTTCTATACTCCTGGGAACGATAATCTGAGCATAATACTCCCATTTATTACTTGATGTGTGCACTTGCACACTTGGGTTGAACTAAGAGAACAACTGTGTTCTTTCTTAGTAAACTGAGGAACGTTTTCATCATAATATATTTTCACCCAGCAGCTTTTGTAACCCAACAGTTCACATTATGATTTTGTTCGTGTTGTGTTATATTACAATGGTATGAAGGTAGAAGGTCGATGAGGTGTCATGTTTGAAGGTGAAAAAAGGCCGACACGTATCCAACGCAACGCAACCCTTGACGAACTGCATCAGAGAATTCGTCAGAAGTTAAGTCTTCAGGGTAACCAACGTATCACTTAGATCACCACAAGGTTATGGTAATCTGAACAATACATTAGTTTGCAAGTGGTTGACGATGAAGACGTCGAGATGATAATGGAAGAATTTTTCAACCAGTCAAGGAAAGATTTTCTGGAGTTGTATGTGGACATTGTCGGATCAGATGATGTTCCATTACCGGTGAGGTCAGTTGCTTTAAATTCACCCCGTCTTGCATCAACGTCTGCTGCTTATGCTTCTCTAGTTGGTAACATTTCTGAGGGAGATGAAAATGATCCGACTTGGGTTATGCATGACGACAACGATGACGATGATGATGAATATCGCAATGGAAGAATGTCTTCTGGCCGAGGATGCTAGTGCTTCAGAAGGAGGTGAAGGTGATATGGGCGCGTCTCAAATCCCACTATACCATGAACTAGTAGAGGCTCAAATCCCGCAACTTAATGACATTGGCTCCGCACAATTATCAGATCATCATGAAGGTAATTTGCGGAGCTCGTTCTATGTATGTATTATGTCTTCATGTGTATTCAACTGTTAAAGTTGTTTGTCTAATTATATACGTTCTACGAAATGTGAATGTAATGTCTTCATTGGCAGGGATGATAAGGGAAGAACAATCATTCTCAATTGCACTGATTCAGGAAAGGATCATCTCTAAATATGGATTTAAAGTTTCGTACAGAAAGGCATGGTATGCAAAGTAGAAAGCGGTTGCAATGATGTATGGTGATTGGGAGGAATCGTATGCTTTTTTACCCAGGTGGTGTGAATACATGCTTCGCTTTTCTCCAGGTTCTTTTTATCATATTCAAACAAATGATTATTATGTGGAGCATGGCTTAGTTCCTGGAAAAAAAATGTTTCATCGCATCTTTTGGACGTTGAGACAGTGTTGCGAGGTGTTTAAATTTGCCAAACCGGTGATACAGATTGATGGAACACATTTATATGGGAAGTACAAAGGCAAATAGTTGGTGGCCACAGCCCAAGATGAAAATGAAGAATGTTTACCGATTGTTTTTGCCATCGTTGAAGGTGAGACTTTAGAGAGAGGTTAGAGTGAGAGTGTGAAATGATTAAAAGGGTAAAATGGGGGGGGGGGGTGGGTTATAGGCCTGGTGGGTGACGCCCCACTTGGGCGTCACATGTCACGCTTGGTTTGGGCGTGACCCACCAGGATGTGACACTCTCTTTGGACATGACATGTGACACTCAGATGGGACGTGTTTGTGTGCAATAAATACGTAAATATTATGAAAACAGTTGTAAATTTATAATTTTTTAATTAAAAAGCATTATATTAATTTTTTTGCCCAAGTCCTCTCCAATATTTCCAAAGTCCCCAGTGTGGTTTGCTCTATTTTTTCCTACAACTTCATCTGCTACTCAAATTCTACAACAAGAAGTAAAAGCTGCAAAACCGCAATTACCTAAATGAGAAAAAAAAAAAACATACACACACACGAATATTAAAAAGAAAATATAAATTTGTCAAAATACTGGTGGATAGTCAATGAACAGAATTATGTGATTTAAAATGACAAATATTTTAATTTAGACAACATAAATTATTGCAAACTTATACTAGAATCAAATTTATTAAATTAAATCCCAACACATAACAAGGGATTCAATTTAGCTGTGTAAATGAAATCAAACATATCATAGTATCTAAAGGATGATTTTATTATTACATTACAAGCTTTCCGGCAGAGCTGTGTGATAAAAATCATACCATAAGAGCTTATTATTATTTTTTATTTTTGCACTTTATGTAGAATGATATGAGCACCATATTGTGGCTGAAGAGTAATCACTTGAGCTGGAGCATGAGCATAAGCAGGAGAAAGTTCAAATGAGAAATGTTGTAAAATCAAAGACAAAGCCATCTTTGCTTCCAACATGGCAAAGTTTTGTCCAATGCATATCCTTGGGCCCCATCCAAATGGAATAAAAGAAACTCTGCCATTTGTTGCCTTTGAAACTCCTTCAGAAAATCGATCAGGATTGAACTCCATAGCATCATCACCCCATAGTTCACAGTCATGGTGAACCAAAACTATTGGTAAGGAAATTTGCACTCCAGCAGGTAATGTCATGTTTCCAAGTTTCATATCTTTGTGAACAGTTCGAGAAACCTCAAGTGCTGGTGGGTATAACCTAAGAACCTCGTACAAAATCATGGTTACCTGTTACGAAAAGATTAATACTAATGGTAAGTATCAAGGACATACTATATTCAGTATCAAAATCATAATAATACAATACTTACAATCTTAAGGTGACTCAGCCCATCAAAATCTGGTTTGCTGTTTCCAAAGACTTGTAAGACTTCATCCCTAGCACGTGCTTGCCAATCAGGGTACCTACTCAATAACACCATTGTCCAAACAAGCAAACTTGAAGTGGTTTCCTGCCCTGCAAAGTAGAATAGCTTGCATTCCTCTATTACATCTTCAATATTCATTCCAACATTCTTATTGTTTCCTTGTTCTTCAATTTCCTTATGATTTGACTCCAGAAGTATTCCTAACAAGTCATTCTTAGCAGCTTCACCAGCCTTTAATGCTTTCTCTCTCTTGTTAATTATATCCTTAAGCGAAACTTGTACATCTCTGTAAATTTGCTTCATCCTCCGTTGGGTAGTATTAGGTAGAAACCTACAAATAATCATAAATTATCATGATACGAAGGGAATGCTCATTCAAATATCAACTAGCCTTCTAGATCTAGTGGTTGTTCTGTCAACGGTAAACATAGTTTGGTTTTCCATCTGCTAGTGTTTTACTTTTTCAAGTGGCAATTCAGACCCTGCATCTCATCTTCCCATCACAATATTTCCTAAATAAGTGGACATTGTATATGAGACATAGATTCTTATTCTGTACAACAAATGTAACTTAAATGAATGAAATTTTTTCCTATTCATGTTGCTATTTAGAGACCGCAAATTCATATCACCATAATTGGTAAATTGCTTGTTGTTAAAACAAATTTATTTGATTCTTAATAAAAAATATTATTTGCTAAATGTTGTTTCCTATCTGAAATATGGTTTTAGATCAGTTAAACAAAACTCCTTTAATAAGTTTGATCTTACTTTAGTCATTGAGCAGTCAGATACACAGGTTAGTCATACCTCCATCCAGGGATGAAAGCTTTCATTAAAACTTTCATTACAAGTTCAGCTTGCTCTTTTTGAAGTTCAAATATTCTTCTTCCTTCTTCATAACTACTTCCAAATGCTGTTTTAGAAATAACGTCGCTCGCCAAATTCTGAAGGAAAGGCCAAACATCCATTTCACAGGATCCATCAAGAGATAACATTCCCTCCCATTTGCTAATCAGATCATTGCAACTTTCAAAAAATATTGGTAACATAATCTGTGGTGTAATAAAGAAATAACAAAAGAGTTCACATTCATTGTGTCAAACTACGCACATAAACATGCAGATGTTTGCAAAAGTATATGTTGCTGGATAAACTAGCACAAGCTATGCCAATATGCCATACCAAATATTTTTGCCAATAGAATGCATTTCCAGGAAAAGTAGTTTTGCCAGTGTGTTTCTGACATGTTTTCAAAAGGCACAATATTATACAAGATCTATATCTAGTAAAGGGAAACTAACCTTGTTTACCAAAAAAAAAAAAAAAAAAAAAAAAAAAAGGGAAACTAACCTTCAATTTTTCTAAATTGAATGCAGGGTTGATTATCCTTCTGTGCTTGCTCCACTTTTCTCCCTCATGGCTTACAAGACCCGTAACTAGTAACTTGACAAGCTTATTGGCATTAGGTTTTGGGAAGTCATAAATCTTGTTAAGTACATCTTTTATTAGCTCAGGATCTGTGAGGGTCACACTTGGCATTGGTCCTAACCAAATAAAAGAATTATTGCCTGCATACGATCAGCAACTTTATCAGAAGTCTCAACTATAGATAAGCAAAAAAAAGAAAAATTATAATGACAGAAATGTCTTGTAAAAAAGTGGGAAAATTTATCAGCTTCTGCCTCTTCCTCCAAAATCTAATTCAGGAAATTCCCTGCTATGCAATGTCACTCTAAAACTATTTTAAAAGACTAAGTAGCTTCTTTTTTATGGAGGAGAATGGTAAGAAAAGAGCTACACATTTTATCAATTGATGGACCATTGCTTAGTATAAAAGGGAAGGAGGATTGAGGCAGAAGCTATAGCGATACTTTGGGTACAGTCACAATTGCTTTAAAAGAAAAGTTTTAACGTAAAACAATTACGTCAAAATTTTTATGGAAAATATTACCATCAAATTTTTTCGCAAAAAATTTTGACGAAAAATATTTTCATCAAAATTTGTGACTAAAAACATTTCTGTAAAAAAATTTGACGGAAAAATTTTTTTGTCAAATTTTTTTACGGAATCTGAATTTCGTCAAAATATTTCACAAAAAAACCTATTCACGCAAATTTCCACAAAACACATTTCCATAAAAAAAATTTGACGCAAAAAAATTTCATCAAAATTCTTTACAGAATTCAAATTTCGGCGAAACATTTACGTTAAACTTTTTGACAAAAAAAAAAATTCGTTGACATTTTTAGCGAAACACATTTCCATCAAAATTTTCAACGGAACATATTTTTGTCAAAAAATTTCGTAAAAATTTTTGACAAAAAATATTTCGATAAAAAATTTTGACGGAAAAAATATTCTGCAAAAATTCTTTAGAGAATCTAAATTTCGTCGAAAGTTTCGAATGAAACATTTCCCTCAAAACAATTTCCGTCTAAATTTTCGTTAGAAAACATTCCCATCGAAATTTTGAACGAAAAACATTCCGTCAAAATTTTTGACTGAATTCTTTTTTCGTTTAAAACATTTGATGGAGGAAATCATTTTCGTAAAAACTTTTGATGGAAACTAAATTTCGATAGAAAATTTATTTTTGTAAAAATTTCATTAGAGAAAAAATTTCGTCGCTTTTCGACAAAAAGTATTCTGACGAAAAAATAATTTTGTGACGAAATTTTTTTCGTTTGCAACGTAGAAATTTCAACGAAATTTTGTGACGAAACCAAGTCAAAAATGGGTCAAGTTAGATTTGACCCACTTCAGAAACCAAGTCAGACCCACTTCAGAAACTAAGTCAGGTCAGATCTGACCCGGTTCTGAACTAGTTCAAAAAAATCTAAACCAAGTCAGACTTGACTTGGATCAAATTAAAGCGGGTCGGGTCAAAATACCTGACCTACAAAAATCAAGTTGGGTCGAGTTGGCACAAAAACCTGACCCGACCTGACCCATGCACAACCCTATGTCTACGTGGATCTAATCTGTTTCGTTACGGGTCCAAACCACTTGGGAGATTCCAGCGAGCCACCATTGTTTCAGACATTTTCGATGTTGATTTTTGCAATCTCTTACTCCCTTTTGTGTTTTTCCAATCAACTTTGGGTTTCTTGCAGGTTCTTGACCCTAAATAGTGGCGAGTTGCGATGAGACACTCAAGCCAATGCTTCGAGGTTTCTTCTCCCGCCCATGTAACTATGTTGCACCGACACTGACACGGGACACAGAATACGACATGACACTTCGACACGTTAATTCTAAAAAATATTAAATTTCGATACGTTAGGACACTTTTGATATTATATAATATTTTTAATTTATGTAGTGTATGTTATATTTAATATTCAATAATATAACAAAAAAATAAAACTAAACTTATAATATCCATCAATTTTGTAAAGAAACATAAGATATCCCAAATATTTATATTAAACTCAATAAAATAGTAATTGTAACCCAACGAATCTAATAGTTGAAACTCAAAATGCGACGCAACGTAATTTTTGAATCTTTTTTGAGTCTTTGCAACGAGTATTAGAGTGTCGGAAAGTGTCGAAATGTCGATGAGTGTCGGACACCACAAATCAGAGATTTTAAAGTGTCGGTGCCTCATAGGTGGCCAAAGGCACTGCCGGCCTTATTTCCACCATTGTCCTATTCATTACAACAATGACATTTACCTGATCCATCGCTTAGAAGACCTGAGGTGCTTCTGTTAAGATTTGGTTCAACGGCCAAGGGCATTTACTCCTTCTCATGACAAAACTTGATGATATTCCCAAGAATAAGCAATCTAAATGGAAGAAAGTTGTTGACCAGCTCCTGAGAATATTTTGGCAATCCATTGATTAATTCGATAGTCATTGAGTTTTTCATTCTCTTTGAGACATGTTATAAGGTGTGGGAGGAAGCAAAAAGTTGCTTCACAAATGACGTCCAACAATTGTACTTAATTGCTACCCTATATTAGAGATCTATTTGAGCACAAGAAGCAACTTAGCACTTTTTTATGTGTTTTGCTCTTTCCAATCTTCTAGAGGAATTATGTTTGACTAGTGTTGAAATTCCTACCTAATCACAGACATTCTAGAATTTGTGGAACCTTAACAACAAGGATTTACTGGCACCTGTTGTAACTTTTTTGGTCGTGCCTCCTTTAGATTCCACTGCTCTCATCTCTAGTGCTCATGACTAGCAAGAATAGTAAATGTTATAGCAATCGTGGTCATGGACGGAGGCCTCGCTATAACTATTGTCAAAACTTGGGCCATTTCGAAGAGCCCTACTATTAGAAATATCCTAATCTAAACCCAATTATTGCTGACTTTGCTCAATCTGACATTGCACCACCCTCCATTGGATCAGTAACCAATTATAGTGCCGGTTATGACACTCTTCTTGGACTTAAGTTTGCTTCCCAACCTTTAGCTTCAAAAATTGGTAATTCTTTTGCTCTCAGCTCTCAGTCACCCATTAGGCCCTCGATATTTGATTCAGGTGCTACTGATCATCTATGTGATAACAAGGACCTCATTACCTCTCTTATTTATTTTGATAATTTATCCTTTGTTACTTTTGCTAATGGGACTAAGGCCTCTATTTGTGGTATTGGACAAGCCCGTCCACATCTTTCCCTACCTTTTACATATATTTGATACTCTTAGTTATCATTTTTAATTTAATATTTGTTAGCCAATTAGTTTGTTCTCTTTCATGCTCTATCAGGTTTTCTAACAATTTTGTTATGATGTAAGATCCAAGTAGGGCGAGGACAATTGGCATGGGTTTTGAGTCACTGGGTCTTTGCTATCTCGCCATGCCTAGTTCCCTAGTGGCATATTTTATAATGAAGCCTCTAGAGCTCATTTCCAATCGTCTGGGTCACCCAAGCTTTTCCAGACTTCAATGGATGATTTTGTTTTTATCTGATCTCAAGTCTTTAGATTGTCAGTCTTATCAACATGGAAAATCCACTTGTTCTTCCTTTATGAATACAGTTAATAAATGAGCTTATGCTTCTTTCTTTATTGTTTATTATGATATTTGGGGTCCAACTTAAACTACATTTGTTTTGGATTTTAAGTATTTTGTTTCCTATATCGTTGACTCTTCTTGTTTACTTGCGTTTACTGAATGAAAAATTGTTATGAGTTTTTTCTATTTATCAAAATTTTGGCTGAAATTTATACTCAATTTGGCTTTTTTATTTGGATTTTGCGTAATGACAATGCCATAGAATTTATCCTTTAAAGTGTCAGATTTTTTGACAAAATAGGGCACCTTACATCAAACTACATATCCTCATACTCCACAAAAAATGGAGTGGTCAAATGCAAAAATAATTTACACACCGCAATCGCCCAACTTTGTTGTTCAGGAGTAATCTAGATTGGTGTGCAAGCTTCGTTAATCTTTAAACAAACTAAAGTAGTGACTCCGAGCTGGGTTCACTCGTATCAGTTCAACTATTTAGGCTTTTGGATTAATCCATAGTGAAGTCGATCACATTGTTTTCTATCAGCATAGTTCTTCTGATTAACGCATCTATCTCCTAATCTATGTTGATAAAATTATCATCACTAACAGTGATCGAGTTGAATTGAAAAGCTAAAATAATACTTGTTCAATCAATTTCAGACCAAAGATCTTGGTAAATTCCTATATTCCTTAGGTCTAGATATGGCACAATCAAGGCAATGTATCTCTATCTTATAGAGACGATATGCTTTAGATATCTAGGAATAGGCCGATATATTAGGGTGAAAATCTATTGATACACCCATGGATCCTAATGTCAAGCTTCTACCTGGACCGAGTGAGCCTCTCACAAATCATGGTCATTATCAGAGATTGGTTTGGAAGGTCAATTATCTGACTGTAACAAGACTTATCGCTTTCGTAGTTAGTGAGGTCAGATAATTCCTTGATTCTCATTGGGACTTAGTTGCCAGGATTCTCAAATACATCAAGGAGGCACTTGGAAAAGACTTATTATATAAAGATAATGGGCATATTGAGGTTTGTAGCTACTCGGATGTTGATTGGACATGTTCTGCTTCAGATAGATGATCTCTTTTAGGCTATTGTGTCCTTTTTAGGAAAAGTATGATTTCTTGGAAGAGTAAGAAGCAAATCATGGTATCCAGGTCAAGCGTAAAAGGCTAGGTATCGAGCAATGGATATTGCAACTTGTGAGTTTATATGGTAGAAGCAATTTGTTAAAGAACTAAGTCTATGTGAACAACTTCTTATAAGACAAGTATATCTCCATTTTATCTTTTAAACAAGACCAAGATCATATTAATTGGACAAGTATAGCTCAAGTTATGCCCAAAATATGAAACCATGTTTTTGCTATCAAAGTTGTTTTATGTTGCAGCTCGCTCCAGCGAGCAAGTTAGCAAGCAGATCAAAGAGGGTAATTCAGTTCATGATGGTTGTGCCTTTTATTTAAAAATACTATGGACTTTTATTTAAATGGAAGAACAGAAAGAGAGTAATTCAGTTCATGATGGTTGTGCCCTAAAAGAGGAGAAAGCTCTGTTCTGAAGCAAAGGAGCTGAAGGAAGA